GTATTAAGGTTATTGTTAAAAAGTTTTTGTTTTATCAATACTATGTTCAAGGCTTATTACTAGATGGCACTACATTATCGAAGCCTAGGTAAACTGGCATTTCAGTAATAAGATTTCATTTTGAAGGAATAACATTATTAAAGAGTTACAGGATCTTTTCCAAATTCCAAACACAATGTTAAATGTTTCTATTTAAGGGAGTGAGTCCGTGAGGGAGGAGTTGGGAGCTGCTATTAAAAATAATTATTTAGGAGTCAATAGAGGAGAGTCATCAGTCATGAACTATAAGAACAAAAGCCAATGTTCAATATTGACCTGTACTTGGCAAATCAATTGACTATATGAAAGTCTCTTTGATATAGTTCTTTTTTTTTTATTGTTTTATTTATTTATTTGACAGACAGAGATCACAAGTAGGCAGAGCGACAGGCAGAGAGAGAGGGAAGAAGGCTCCCAGCTGAGCAGAGAGCCTGATGCAGGACTCGATCCCAGGACCCTTAGATCATGACCTGAGCAGAAGGCAGAGGCTCAACCCACTGAGCCACCCAGGCTCACCCTTGATACAGTTCTTTATTGGACACTGCATTCTGATAACTATCTTGGGCTTGGTTTAACAAACATTTTATGAGAGCTTTTGACAAGGTAGGCACTGTTAAAATTAGAGATACAGAATGATCAAGATATGGCCACTGTCCTCACCACAGAGAATCCCAACCCAAACAGGCAAGGACAGTGAAAGAGATTGGGACAGGGTGCAGCACAGAGCCCAAGAGGGAATCGTCATTCAGGGCGTGGAAGCGGGAGATGGGGAAATGGAGGTCAGGGAAGGGTCAGTTGGAAGAGGTGATACTTAAGTTCAGACAAAACTGTGAATTTTCATCTCCTTAAGCTCAAGTGTGGAATAGAAATTGTCATTTTAAGAGCAAATACTAAAAAAAAAATAATATTCATCTTCTACTCTGATCAATGAAACAAATGGTTTCGGGTAGATCTATTTATTTGTACATATTTGAGGCTACGATAGAGGCTTATTATTCAGACAGATTCTTCTAAGAAATAAAATTCTTGGAATTTGCCCGGACTCATGCCAAAGCATATTGTTCACAATCAGATTAAATTTACCATACTCTTATGTCCAAAGAGAGTGATCCATCGGACGCTTAATGTAGAATGCTAATTTAGAAATATGTCAGAAGCCAGACAGTCTTTCAGAAGGAATTCCGTAGAAGTTAATCAGAGCTTAGAGATCAGATGAGCTTCCATTTGCATATGATTTCTCTACACCGCGTCTGCAGACAGCAGGTTGCTTACATAAAAACTCTCTCAGTCTCTGCTTCCTGCCATTTGATTTGGCAACAACTCCAGATGTCCCCAAGGAGCACTGGGTGTGGTGCATAAACAATGAATTTAGGAACAATGAAAAAAAAAATTTTTTTAAGTTACATAATGACTGTTGCTGGACATTGGAATTGCTTTAGGAATGGGTATTTGCAATTCATTTTCCCTTCATGATGGTCTTAAAAATCCATCCTGTCAAAAATGTTTTTTTAAAGTCCTTGAGTCCTCCCCCACCTGTAGCACATTCAGAAGAAAGGCTGTCAGAGTTTTCAAAAAAGTGATTCCCTGTGTTAGGATGAGCATTGATTCCCAGAACCTTGGTGGTAAAAGGAGCCTTTGATAAATCACTTAGTTAAGTCCCTTCATCTTATCACTGAGGAATACTGAGGCCTGATGAAGTCAAAGGGATTGCCCATGACCAAGCAGCAAGATAACTGTGGTGACAGGACAGAAGGACTTCGTCTCCATCTTCCAAGGTCAGGGTCCCTGACACCTTGAACTTGAAGGCACATACAGATCTCTTAGGAATCTTATTAAAATGCAGATTCTTATTCAGTAGTTATGAACTGGAGGCCCAAGATTCTGCATTTCTATTAATAAGATCCCAGGGGATGATGACAATATGGGTCCATGAACCACACTTAGAATAATAATAAGGCTTTACCCTAAAAAAAATTTATTGGAGTGAAGGCAAACATTAGCATAAGGATAGTTTGGGTTCAGGTACGACTGGCATCAAAAAAGATTCCAAAAAAGATTGGCAAACCTTCAGCAGGTCTGGTGTTACTATACCAAATAGTCTATGTCATCTTATGATGGAGATAAACCACCATGCCATAATGCCAGTTTCCTAGGAAATGTCATTTTAGAAGTCAGACTAATTAGAAAATTGTCTGGGTAAGATTTTTTATCTGCTTCACCTAGTTGTCCTGTGCCTTCTCACCTCAAAACTGGCATCCAAGATGCATAAATGACAATTTTCTAATAATGCATTCCTTAAAGGACTTACGGTTCTTCAGCTATATGTTAATTTCATGATCCTTGAATCAATGCACTTCTTACCTCAAATGGTTCTCCCCCACATCCCCTGCCACACACACAGTGTTCACATGTCTTATACCATGTTTATTGTATGGAACGAGTGGATTATTGTGTGATCATCATGAGAATTCTAATTTTTATCAAGAATGCAAACAGGAAAAAAAAAAAAGAATGCAAACAGGTAAGATGAAATGGTCATTACGGAATGTATCCTTAATTCTGGATTACCTACTTACTGTAGGGTATGCCCATGTGGATTCGTAGCCCTGGTTTAGAAACAAATAGACAAACAAAACCCTGTGTATTTCAGAAGTCATTATGTGAAATAAGTTCTATGGGAAACAGGTTTCCATGTATTTTTCTCATATATCTGTGAAGAAATTCTTACTGAAGCATGTATAATGCCATCTGTATGAAAAATGGCCCGGCCTCACAGACTACGATCTTATTTCTGGATTTCTCTAGGTAGATCTTCCTCTATTCACTGCTGCAAACATATTCTAACCAAAAATAACCAGTTTAATAATATAAAAGTGTTTTCAAGGGTTGAAAAGCGCTATTTCAATACAAGATGTTTGTCGTTAAGTTTATTGATAATACACTAATGATCATAATAACACTTTACGTTTGCACAAGAACTCATGGGACTAAGAATCAAGAAGTGCTTGTATTTTATCTTATAGGCCATTCTTCTTGAAATAGGAAAGTTAGATATACCAAATCACTTGGTAATAATTTTTTGGCATTGAATGTAGTTTTAAGGGGAATGAAAAATATCACCCTTACACTTGTAATAATGAATAGTTTTATTCACATTTCTTTGGTGCCAAAAAAAAAAAGTGTTTATTCTTATTTACTCTGGAGAAGACAGGGTCATGTGTAAATCACAAGGTGTGTGAGGTCACAGCTACATTTTATTAGGTGCTTTGCGTGGTGGTTATGGTATAGCTCAACTATTAATAGTAATCACAGCTACAGGTGTCAGGCATCTATGAGTTTGCTTGCCTAGAACCTTTTTGATGGCCCTATTTACTAGAGCATGTTATTGGGTGCAATGAATCCAGTATGAAATGCTTTAGTTACTGGTATAACGGCAACAAAAAGAACAACTAGAAAGGACTTCCAAAGTTAGGCACATCCCCGCATCACCACCTTGTGAACAATGTGGGTGAAGGAATGTTGAGTAAAATGAAAATTTTTACACCATGGAAAGACAGTTTCACCTTGAATACGAAGTGACCTCTATTCAGTATAACTGGAGAAGAGTAGCTGTCTAAATTTTAAAAATGGATTTGCCTTTGATTTGGGATCCATGGGTGAAGGGAAATGTCTGCTAATCAATTATCTGCCTCTTTCTGTTATGAGGTATTAAAAATGAGACCTAATTTGTAGTACCTTTAAGAAAAAAGGAAATATAGTTATTCTTGTCCGTAATCACGAGAGTATATAAGCGCTTGACTTCTATTGTAGTGCGATGATTGAACGAACATAAAAGTAGGCATGACTATACAGAACTGAGTGTATAGAGAGAGAAAAGCTCAGGATCATTTAAATAATAAAAGATCATGGATGGAACCGTGGAAGTCCTTACCAAAACCAGCGTTTTAACAAGGTGTAGGAGTCAGTGCCCAGTGGCAAATAAGGAAATGCAAAAAGGGAAGGTGACTTAGCGGCCCAGGCCTTGCCAGCCCTGCTCAACTTTTCAACCTCCCTCAAGTTAAATTTCAGTCAGCTGTCCTTAGGAAGACCGAAGCAAACCACCACCAAAATATGTGCCCCACAGTTGTCATGAAACATGGTTTTTAAAAATGTGTTCTTTTCCTTTCCTTTATGTTGTTCAATCACCAGGTCATTGTAGGAATCTCCATATTCTCTAGGAGGAAAATTGCCAGTCTGAAAATTCAGTGTCTGTAGCGTTCTATTGCTTATCACATTTTTGCCCTCTAGGTGCCAACCTGGATTCACTGGAGCAAGATGTACTGAGAATGTGCCCATGAAAGTCCAAAACCAAGAAAGTATGTTAAAATAATCTGAAATTTGCTCTCTCCCCCAAACTACAGCAACAATTACTACCACTTGGTGGTTTTACATTTCAGTGGTAACTGATTCCTTTTGTCCTAACAATGGTTTAAGCACTCGGGGCGTAAACTCCTTCAGCACGAGCTTGTTTCATTCTCTCCCAGCGTGGACTCCAAAGACCATCGAGGTAAATGACCACCAACGTGGCCAGCAAGGCTGGCAACCGTGACAGGCAGGCCAACCAAAAAAAAAAAAAAAAAAAGTTTCCTTCTAACACCTTTGACCAAAGCCCTCAGATGGAAAACGGACTCGAAGAAAACCTCCGAGTTCATTGTAGGTGAGTCCCTTTGAAAGAAAACTGACCCTTAAGATGCTGCCATCTTTCCGCCCTACAGACCTGACGACCGCATTTTGTCCCAGTCTTGAGTCCTTTGGAGGAAATGCCAGAGACTGGAAACCATGGTTAGGACAAAGACTCAGTTCCTGAGGGTGAACTCACCAAGTTCAGTCAAATGACACTGAAGGAGCTTCTTTCTAGCGTGTATTCACCTCTTCTCTTTTTCTCTGTTTTTTCTACCATTGTTTTTTGTTTCTTCTCTCAGGTGCCCAAATGAGTTTACTGGTGATCGCTGCCAAAACTACGTAATGGCCAGCTTCTACAGTACGTCCACTCCCTTTCTGTCTCTGCCTGAGTAGGAGCATGCTCAGTCGGTGCCGCTTTCTTGTTGCTGCATCTCCCCTCAGATCTCACCTAGAACTAGATGCGTTTTACCAGGTCTAACCTTGACTTGCCTCTGCCTGTCGCATGAGAACATTAACACAAGCGATTGTATTACTTCCTCTGTTCGTGACTAGTTGGCTCTGAGATACTAATAGGTGTGTGAGGCTCCGGATGCTTCTGAAATTGAAACTGAATAATGTGATCCAAGACGATAGTCCTTATCCCACAGCGCAATCACAATAAAGGCATTTAAAAGTCTCACTTTTATTGGTAAAATAAAATCATTCTGCTAAGCAGTCCATCTTCTTTATAAAAAACGGCAACGTCCTGAAAAGGATGCTGCTAAGTTGTAATCAGTATGCACTTGAAATGATGGTAAGTTAATTTTGGCTCAGAATGTGTTATTTATAACAAATAAACATACTAAAAAGAGTTCAGATGTTTCTCTTCATTAACAGTTTGCATTTAGTTATTAAAAAAGGCACTGAGTAAGAAAATTACAAACAAACATGGCACAGCAAATGAGATAGCCTGGCTTCTCCTTACGATGCTTAGGAAACAAGTGATTCAGGACTAGTTTAAATAATCATTTATGTTAGCATTCCTTTATGCTGGTGTCAAGGATAATTTTAGGAACAAATAGGTTTTGTAAAAATATTATTGACTTTGAAATATAGTACTTTACCTCTAGATAGATATTTTTAAATGCAGAACTGGGAAATTTTGATGGGTCTCAATGGCTTCATGAGATTTTGAACATTCCTAAATGACCCAATTCACATGTATGTAATTTGCATGGATAACTAAATTATGTAATTTGTCCGGCTCTTGTGAACTGGGCTATTGCTTTTCTTTCTGGAGCTTTTGGAAGGATTATATTTAAGGTGGAGTCCATGTAGTTATCCTTTGAGATCAGAGATCGACAATTCTTTTTTCCTGTGAAAGATCAGATAGTAAAGACTACAGGTTTTGCAGGTGATAACGTCACCCGCACAAACCACTAATTCTGCCAGCTCAGCACAAAAGCCCCTGGAGACAGTGTGTGAACTGATGAGCATAGCTGTGCACTATTAAAACTTTATTTACACAACTAATGAATCATTGAACATGACATCAGAAACTAACTATGTACTACACAGTGGCTAACTTGAACTTAATAAAATAAAATAAAACTTTATTTACAAAAGGAGGCAATGGGCTGGATTTATCAACCCCTGATTTGGATTGTCAGTTGCTGAACCTGAAAAATATTTCACATGGCTTATCGGTGTAAAGTCATGTAACACAAGAAACAGTGATATGAGCAAGTCATTGGGGGACCCTAAAAGAATCAGATTTCCCTTTACTTGCATGCACGCAAAGAATAAGATTCTGCTCCTCCTGTTAACACTCATGGAAGAATAAATTTCATGGAAAAATTAATTTCCTATGCATATGGGGAGATCACATCCATAATATTCAATCATTTATTTAGAGAGGTGGTGCTTTCTGTGTATTTACATAGGCAGCATATCGAAGGCTATGTCCTAGGCCCCTTTCTGTTGGGAAAAATTAGTAAATTGGCATTTGCTAAATTTTCAAACACAGTCTTCCCTTTATCCACAAGTCTTTAAATAATACACATTTAGTGGACCCGATTTTTCTCCCCATAGCTATAGATTAATCTTCTTAAAGGTAGGTAAGATGCAAAGTAAAAACAGAAGTAATAGAATTTTACTCATTATAGTAAAGCCATTCCTTTTAGAAATCAGTTTGTATTCAAAACCACAGATTTCGCAAATCACGTGCCTGTGTAAATAACAACAGCATCGTATTTTAGAATTTTGTGAAAATTCCGAACGTTTATATTACACTTAAATTTTTGGTGTTATGTAGAGTTCTATTGTGCCCTGGAGGCTGTGTTAGGCCCCTATCTAGAGAAAAGCATTTTTTTAAAAATGAAGCTATTTCCCCAAATAATGATGCGGTTTAGGTCTGACAGTAGTAACCAGAGAAAATGTTTTCAACTTCTATTTTAGATCATTTTTTCCTAAGATATTTCCAAATAGCCACTATCCAATCAGAGTGTGATTCCGTAAATAAATTCTTCAGTAAGCTTTCGATCGCACTGCTGGAAGATATCCAGGAAGGCAGTGTTCCTATTTACCCAGAGGTAACAAAGATTGATAGGAAGCACATTTCTGAACAGAAGCTGTAAATGGCCAGGCTTTGATGCCACCTCAGAACTAGAAATTCAAAAAACACCTTTCAGAAATTGCTTTCCAAAATTGTCTTGCCCAGAGTTAATTTCCTAACCCCAATGCCTTAAGTTCTCAACGCAATGCAATGCAAATCCCTATAGAGAAGGCAGGAAAATAAATTGTGCTGCTTTAAGAACTTTATGTTCAAGTAGCAATGTCGTGTGCACGATGAATAAAAAATGTCACCACAGTGGTAACGATTAAAAACTTAATTGTGTTCAGAATGTCTGAAACACATATATAAATTTTAAAAGAAAAGCTGCGGAGAGAAACATTTTTTTCAACTTTACCAAACTACATTTTCCAATCAAAGTATGGCATTCTAAAAAAGGTACACTTTTTAAAATGCTTATTAATGCATAACTTACATTATTAGGATTTGATGCAGTTTTTCTGGCCAGAGTATCCTGTGGGCACTTATCGATTTGTAAAAACGGATTTAAAGTATGAAAGGAAAGAACAAATATATATTTTATAGGGCTTTCTTGAAGGCAGCCATTTGCCTCAAAATAAAACATCTTTGGAATACTTTCTAGGAAAATGTTGTCAAGGTTACTCAGCTTCAAATTTGACCTATCTTGACACAGAATTCCTTCTTTAAAGGACTGTGTTCATCACTGTGGGGTATGTTGGGGTGGGGTACCAACAGTTCATAACAGATTTATAGACTTATTGGACAGAATAAAAAAGCATTCACAGCTTCAGTAGAGGTAGTATGGGGCGAGTATGTCATGCATAAACTAAAATATAATAGGAAGTAGTTATCAAATAGCCCAAATTACAGAATATTCTTAAAGACTACAATTTTAGAACTTTCAAGCGTATTCTTGGAATGAGTAAACCCAACAGATATCCTTAAACGTAATTTTGAATCAGAGGTTCCTAGTGCATAAATGACTTGTGTTGATTTCTAGATGCTCTGAAGCTATTCATTTATTTATCCAACATGTGTATCTTGCTGACAGTAGAATAAAGGCACAATCCATGACAAACTGTCACAAAGCCCAGCTGAGTGTTAGTGAGACTTTATTGCATGTGTGTCGGAGAGTGTGCTCATGTGCACGGGGAAACTTGGGAGCGAAGAGAAAGTCTCCTATTACATTTCAAAAGGCTCAGTGGCAATACGGATTTGTATATGTGGGGGAAAAAAGTACCTACATTTGTAAAGGTAAGTCAAAAACTCAAAGTCGGATAGTAAATTGGTCCCATTTAGCACTAGCCTTGACAGACCTCCTTAAGAAGTCTCAGGGCTGCAGCAAGTCAGGACTCTACCTATGTCTTTGATATTATTTGCATAAGGAGGACCAAGATATTAAAGAGTAAAATCCTGAATGTCATCACATTTTAACAGAAACCACAAAATGCACGCACAGATAAATTTTGGTTTAAAAAAAGGTGTCTTATTGTTCTTTTCTCTGATGCAATTGAGAATTTAAATTAGCCTACAGGTTAATCAGTTCTCTTCAAACAATTATAAATTCCTAAAGCAAAGGATTAGTGAGTCAATATTTATTAGTTTCTGCAGACTCTTAGATTTAAATTAATTTTTTAGATTGCTTACTGCACAGCAGGAAATCACATGTAGTAAAGGAAACAATTGTTTACAGTAACCTTTGTGTTTTTGAATTATTAATTTAATTTGAAAAATGTAGTGACTAGACAGAAGTGCAATAGGAAGCGTATGATACATAACGAGCCTAAGACAACATTAGATTAAATAGAACAGATAGAAAGTAATAACCTTTTCAAAAATTAAAATTATTTGTGTATTCCGCTTTTCTTGACTCACAATGAAAGGAATGTAGCCACCAATAGTAAGAATAAATTAGAGCAGTATCTGCTCCACATTGAGAATGACTGATGCATGTTTCCTCTGCTTGTTTCCTTGTTAGGGCTTATGGCCAGAAGAGATTCCAATTTTAAGTACCAATTTCCCTTTGAATTATTTGAAATTGGAGCTGCCTGATATGAATGACTTCCCATGAAATGAAATTATAGTTAGGCTCACAGACTTACCTATAAAACTGTAAATGCAGTAATATGTATGCATGGGCATGCTACTAATTTTATTGAAGACTTAACCAAGCTTTCTACGCAACTAATATAGATCATTAGCAGTGTTCATGTAGGCATGGAATAATGATTCTCTGGAAAAAGTTTCTGTCGATCTCTCTTGATTTTAACCCTTAAATTATTACTGACCGGTAGGAGGAAAAGGCATAAGATGGAAGGGATTCTAGGGAGAAAAACTGAGTCACATCTTCAAGGAAATGTGTAAGGAAATTTATTATCACTTCCTTGGAAAATGAATTCTTGTACTTGACATCCCAAAATTTATATAAAGGGAGCAGATGGTCGGGGAGGCCGCCATTTTGTCAAAATGAGTGTCGCACAGAAACAAGTGAAGTTTATTTAGATTTGAATAAATTGTGATTTTACTGTGAACCTTGTGCAACTGATTTAATCCTAAATCCTCTGGCTTTTAATTTATGAAAAGTTTAGGTTATTTGCCTGAGTACCCTTGACACAGGGCAGACTGAACTATTCTATATTATTGTTACTTGATATACTCTTTGATTTCTTTTTTAATCTGGAAGCTTCATTTCCTTAAGAGGGGGAAAGTTTTTAAAGTCTAAATTCTTGGGTATACCCCAGAAGCTTTCAGAGTTTTCCTGGCCATTAATTAGTTAAAAATAAACCTGCATGCAATTAAGTGGCCCAAGGTAGATCTCCAGATAGGTCTGTTTTCTGAGCTCTTAACCCTTTTGCTGTTAGCCGCCATATTTCATGGCTCCTTTATTCCACAGTGTCTCCCTGTGACACATGTGTGAGGATCTTAAGCATTTTGTCAGTGAGAAGTTAATTGGTCCAAAGTCACTGCACAGATCAATGGCAGAGGCAGGACCTAGAACCAGGACAAGCCAGCACACTTGGATTTTCTGCTCTGTACTTGAAGTGATTTGTCCATGCCCAAACTGATGTTTCTGTACAAGAACTACCCCTCAACTGCATGTTTTCAAACTCAAGAGGTGCCGTGTCCTATTTTTTGGACCACCATGGTATCTCTGCCTCGAGGGATTGAGACCCTGAATCTCCGTTTTCATTCCGCCCTTCCTTTCCACATGCCTCTCCACCACATGCGGGCAAATAAGGAATCCTAACGGGTCCCACCTGATGAAACTCATTCACAATTTTTTGCTTCAAGAATGGAAAGTATCATTTCTGGAGGTTTTGGGGATTTATTTTTAATTGGCCCACGTTCCCCATTTCTTCACTGGAGGCTGTGTAGTTTCTGCTAGTCCTGACATCCGAGAGCCTCCAGGGACACATCTGCCAGGACTGTGGGCTGTGAGCTCGCGCCTTTGAGCCCCCTTGGGGGGAGCCCTGCAACACCTCCGAGCCATGTGCCCTCGTGGGCGGCGGAGCTCGGCACCGTGGAGTGCCCACCGAATTGGTTGTTATTTGAGGGAGTCCTACATTAACTAAGGACCTCAAGAATTGGATCCTTCCTGAAGCCGCCTCTTTTTTTTTTTTTTTTTTTTTAAACTCTTTGGAAAAATGAGGCATTGAGGGTTGTCCAATGCCACAGAAGAGTTACTGGGAAAATCTGGAAGCCAGATCTGTGCCCCAATCCCAATTCCCTCTCTGGCTTTTTGGGCAGAAGCGTTTGTTGCTTTCTGTGAATGAAACGTTATGTAAGTGGTGGAGAAAGTGAAAAGTTAGGAGCAGAAAAGGAGATAGGGTTTTTTTTTATTTGTTTTTGGGGGTTTTGTTTGTTTGTTTGTTTGTTTGTTTTTTATAACCAAACAACAAGAAATGTGTAGAGCGTGACTGTCCAAACTTGGAAAAATGTGAATCCAACGCAATAAAAATTTCAGACCAAATTGCGGTACTCTTGGCTTCTACTCCTGGCTCTGCCACCATGTGCCTTTGGGTAAAAAACAAAATCACCTCCCTGGCACTTTGCTTCTGCCTTTTCAAGAGAGGAATGAAATAATACCGAATGCCTTTTTTTAATTTTTCATTAGAAATACAGTATTTCTGTTCCCAGAGGATTAAGTACCATAGAGGATAGTTCAGCAGTACAACTTCTCCCTCAGTAAGGTCTTTTAAGGGTTAATAAAGACAGGGTGTGCTGGTATTTGCACACCTCTTTAAAAAGAGAAGTTCCCTATGCGGACTCACGGAGGCGTACCTGAGCACTGCTTCCTTAACCACCCGCCATTTGTCCTGTTCAATGTGCACGCCCAGAGAGCCGTTAATAGTCATGTGTAATGTGTTTTGGAGTGCAGTGTATTGCTCTTTTCTGAAACTTTTTTCCCTTTCTTTCTTTTTTTTGTCAACTTTCTGCATTGGCAGAGCATCTTGGGATTGAATTTATGGGTATGAACCAATCATCATTCCTTTTAGCCTGCAGAATTTAGAACCTATGAGCTGAAATCTTTTCCCTTCCTACTCTTACCTTCCAGTTCCTAACTAATTTCCTTTTCCTTCAGAAGGGATCATACAGCTATAACAATGATTTCTTTGCTTCTAATCTATGATTAGTTTACTGAAATGTCACTGAGTGCAGCAGTTTCTAGATTCCCACACTTAGAGTTTAAAAATCACATCACCTACTGCAAAGTCACATATAGCCCACGTTCCTTGACCCTCTGATTGGATCTGACCAGGCTGTTATTTCAGAGCGGGTGGGGGTGGGGGGGGAGGGGGGGCAGGGGGGGGGGGGGGGGAGTAAGTCGGAGAGGTGCGTAAGGCTATGGGAGGAACCAAACCAGGCCTGAGGGAAGAAAAGAAGCTCTAAATGCATCAGCTTAAAAAACACACCACATCTTAGGCAGATGAGAATGTGACATACACTGTAAAAAATCACCCACTTGATAGAGTAACATAGAAAGTCCTTATACTGCAACACGATATTGTATCCACAGACTCTGATTTTCTGGGGATATCCAGTCCCTCCTCTAGTCAACTTCATTATCTTAGGAGCAAGGAAATAGAAAACAGAAAGAAATATACCCAGTGCTATTTTAGGTGGAAATTCTAGTGCTAATGGAATTAACCTTGAGTCACTTAGATTATCCAGACCTGTAATCAAATAGAAATGTTCACACTGTAAACATAAAATAGTATCTCTTATGAGCCTATGAATCTGGGGCATAGTCCCTTTGAAGGCCTTTGTCCTAAATAATTGGGAGACAGGGCCAGTCTCGAGAGTAGAGGGAAGCCATTCTGTCATCCCAGAGGCTCCCTGAACACCTCCCGCAGTGCTGGAATGTGGCCGTGGGTCAACAAAGTGATGTCCTGATTAGCAGCTGGTGTCGATGATGTCATGCAATGAGGGTGCCCTGCAGCATAGCTGCTACTCTCTTTTAGATGAGAGCATCACAGTCCATACCTAATCTACGTTCCATAATTTCTGTAAAATAAGGCTGTTGTAAGTTCTGTCTGTGACAGGGATAGAAACTCAACCATCCCCACCCCCAAAAAAACTTTGAAGAGAAACTATTCATTTGTTGAGAAAACCCCCGCTTACATGTGAGTGATCCTTTGCACATTGGAGAACATCTCCCAAGAGTGAGAAGCACGAAAGTTCCCTCCAACGCCGCTCAGGTGGCAGGTTATCTACTTGATGAGAGGGATCTGTTCAGATCACCTCCCTCAGGATAAAAATTGTCCCACTACTAAAAAGGCTTACCGGCCTTTCCTGCAGGGAGGAATAAAATCTACCATCACCTCCTCCTTTTCCTTAATAGCATCTCTGTCCCATTTTAATCATTTTAGGGTCTAACTAGAATTTAATATTTCTATTCCCAGACAATGAGGTAGGGCAATGGGTAGTTCAGATATAGGACTTCTCCCTCAGCGTGATCTGAAGGGTCAGGAAAGGTACATGGTGCTGGCACCTGCGTACCTCTTAAAGGCGCACGGTCCAGAGACTCCATAGTCCCATGACAGCCAGTGTACTAAGCCAGAACATTCCCTTTAAGGAAAATCAGACCTTAAAGGTCAATTAACAGTGAGAAGGACAAGGCTTCTGTCTCTTAGCCTGGCTAGATCAGACTGGAAAACATGCTTGATCTGATTGACTTCAATGCGTCCAGCCAAACCATAGAGTAAAGACTCAGAAGCATTTCCAATCATTACGGCAGATCCGCCAACTGGACTGACAGATTCTTTTTTTCAGCACTGCCTCTAATTTGCTCTTGCCCTACTGACCCTGTCACACTAGGGAAAAAAATAAGGGGAACGGGGGTGAAACGAACCCATTGTTTATATGATTGTTCATCAAGTAGTTTTAACACATTCGTAATGTGGGGGGGGGGGGGGGGGGAATCCCCTGATCTAGTAAATCACTGGAAAGTGAAATATAAACGAAGATGAGAAAACATAGAATGTATTCTGTAAATGCTGTTGTGAATACAGAATCTTAATCCTACATCTGTATTCTAAGGGCCTTGTCTTTCATTGGTTCATTTTAGCACTTTGGCTTTATACACTTTGGCCTTCACTGAGCTTGCCTTTTTATTTCCGTGACCAATTTCACTGGAAAAACATGTGTCTTCCCACATAACCTGGGCAGAGCGGTGAGTCAGCGTGCCACATCTGCTGACAACCTGAGGTCGATCTATTCTTTTATGATTAGCAACCACCAACAATCTTGTCAACGGAATCCCCAGGAGTACCCAGGATGCCCTTTCCCCCTTCAGTCCTTAGATACATCCCATTTTTGTAGTTGTCAGAAGTAACTTACCAGCTTTTTCTAAAGATGGGATGTTAAAATGCTAGAGCTACCAAGCCCTCACCCTTTCAAAAGAAGCCAAGAGAGTGAGCGAAAGAGGGCACGGTAAAGCAGGGATTTCATTTTCGTGGCAATGATACTTGAACGTGGCTGTTTCTAAACCAACTGGTCACACCCAGAGGAGCCCTGCAACCCCCGGGCCCCTCGAGAAGGGACTGGGGGTGGCGGGGACAGGGGGGCACCGCCTCTCCTTCTTAGACTAACGCTAAAAACCGATCCACAGGCCAGGTCTCCGAGGAGACCCTGGGGCACCTGCTCACAGATTACCACCTTGTCAAATGTGATTCCCTGTCCTGGGGCTCTGGGGGAGGGGAGGCGGCAGACACAGCAATTAACACAGAAGCATTCACATTCCACATCCTCAGCTGACTTTCTCGGCACAAAAATATGTGACCCCACTCTATGTCTCCTGGGTCATTGTCTCACTGCAATGCACCAGCTGCTTTGCTTCCTAATTGTGGCTTCCACGTGACGGCCAGCCTAGGGTAGGCGTTATGCTGTATGGGGTCACCCTTCCAACTTCGCACCCACCCTCTCTTCCCACCCAGCATTTCCTCCCTCTGCTTTTCTTTTGTTTATTTATTTTTCCTCCCTTAGTATCAGGCATGCCATCCCAGGGACTTCAGATGGCTCCTTCACTTTTAATCTTGTTTTCCCTCCCACCTGCCTTCCTCCCTCTCTCCGTCATTCTGTCAGTCTGTCTGTCCTCTGGGTTTGTTTTTTTCCCCCCTCCCACTTCCGACCCTTTTGGTTTGTTTTTGTATAATTTCTGCAGCATTCTAGTCTTTTACCCACTGACTTCTATTCTCCTTCTCCTCCTGTTAATAAACAGTGCTATATTAATTTGATTTGACAATGTTCCTGACCTGTTAACTGGAATTTGATTACCATGGGCTTGGCTTGTAGGAAATGTTTTGTTTAATGATAAGGTCTACTGTATCACAGAAATTAAAATGCACCTTTTCATTTCAAGAAAACTTCCTGCGACTCGCCCTCTTTCAGTAAAGAAAATTGAAAATGTTCCCTAAGGCCCCATGTTGATGTCCAGATAAGAGACCTCAATTTGTATAATACCCCCCGGTTTTTGACCAGCGCATTAATCAATTTGGCAAGTTCAGCTTACAATGTTTATGATGTACCAGTCTGAGTTCTCTTCATCAGTGAACTTGTGAATGTCCTCCAATAAATGTAATTAGACTGGTTGGAGGCTCAGTTCCTAAGAGATCAGGTTCGCCATTAAATCTGCCAATCTCGAGAAGAGCCTGACCTACCAAAGTATAATCAAGGGATCCCTCCCCAAAACGGATTTGCAAATAGAAAGACTTCCGTGAATAAAAGACCAGTTGCATTGAAGAACCCAAAGTTCTAAGCATCACCCTCCCCTCGTGTGACCTCCTTGAGCTGACATGCCAAGCCCTCACTATAGGGCTGTAAAATCTAGTCCAAGTCGCATATCCCATGTGCTAGTGGTTTCTTTACACACATCAATTAGGTTTCTAAGTACAGTCAGTGAAGTGATAATAATTGTCCTTCAAAGGACAAATCTCCATCTTGGCCCCGGACTATCCTACCCACCATATTGGATTTTCTCTGATACAGTGCCCTGCTCTCCCCACCGTGGCGCTTATAACATGTTCACATGTTACCTTTAAATTGTAGGGATCCTGCCTCGGTATTGTTGCTAACTACAAGTCAAGCTCATGTTTGCAAATGTTTTTGACTTTATTTCTTAAGTTAGAAATGGCTCCTTGTAAAGACCACCGGAATATAAACTGGCTGGGAAATCAAAAGAGATTTGGGAGGGGAGAAGAGGGGAGAGACGAGGGCGAGGACTGCCCCAGTGGTTCCAATCCCAGCTCCTTTTATTGGCTTTGATTCCTGTTGCCTTTGCAAGAGTTTTGGTTTTTTAAATTAAAAACTACAATTTTAACTAAATCATTATTTTCTAATTAATGTTTATGATTTGCCAGTTTAATGCATATATATTTATAGCTTTTAAGTAAAGTAATTTAATAGTATAATTTCTTATTGCAAATGGCCCCAGCTGCCTTAGCTGTTTAAGCTCAGAGTATAACGCAGCCTATGCTGTACCTTAAGTATGTCTGCAGAAGTGATGAACTGTCACATATTTACTTTCTTGTGAACATGGACAGTGCCATGCCGCATGCCAACTATTCAGTTATTAAGTCCTGGTGAGTGTAATGGGGCTTTGGTGACGTGTGCTCTCATCCCTTTCCAGAAGCGGAGGAGCTCTACCAGAAGAGAGTGCTGACCATCACCGGCATCTGCATCGCCTTGCTTGTGGTTGGCATCATGTGTGTGGTGGCCTACTGCAAAACCAAGTAAACCTTCCTCCTCCGTGCCTCTCTCCCCTCAGCACAGAGAAGACGGCCTAGCCGGCCCAGGGCTCTGCAGAGAGTGTTTGCAACAGCCTAGTCTTGAAAAGCGGGAGTGGGGAGGCAGGGGGGCGTTTCTGCTCATTTTTTTTTCCTCTAAGTAATCTATTTTGAGGACTTTTTCTGTAACTAGAAAGCTTTGCCTGTTTGTGTGAAAGGGTTCAGAAGACTTGTGGTCATCGGCTGTAACCTGTGACCTGGGAAAGGGTTGGAGGGACGGGCTTCTGGGGCAGGTATGTGTGGACGAGGGTGGGCCCGCCACATCCTGAGAGGACAATGGTAGGCCCCCAAGGTGTGCCTGTCATGTCACTGCTGAAATTGTGTCCCACTCTGCACTCAGACTTAGGAGCTAAAGGAAACTATTTTTTGGCAGTGGTGGCAGTGAAGGTTTTTTAAAACATTATTGCGATGATTTGCCTGTTCCCTCTAATGAGCTTACCGGTTCAAATGCTCTCAAAGTGTGGGATGTACAAAAGGAATCTCATGGGAGGAGAATCAAGCAAATCTTGCTTTGAAAGAAAAGAAAACATTAAAGCAGATTTGTGTTCAGTGTGTCTGGTCCCTTAAGCTGGGTCCATATTAACAAATAGAATTACTGTGTGACCCGAATTCCCTTCACTTTTCTCTCTTACATAGAATTTATGCTTCAAACAGGAAATAATGTTAACAGTTTTGTTTTGTTTTGTTTTGTTGCTTCATCACATAAACTCTCTGACCAATCTTGGGGGCGGATATTATCATGATCTGAATGTTGCTTGAGGAACAAAGACAATATGTTATTAGACCCTAAAATTAAGGAGGTGGATGGCATTTTCTTAATATCCCTGATTTCATGGGTTGCCAGGAATGCATAAGCGATAGAGATAAGCCTTCCTGGAATCTACCTTCTGAGTCTTATTAGATTCAATCTCAGTATTTTAATATCCATTACCTAGTTCTACCAAAAAGTGTTACTAGAGTAAGATCATGTTATAACTGTGCTAAATCTACGGGCAAAATATGTACCTAGCTGCTGTCTTATACAATGCCATTCATGCACACCCACCATATAGAAGGTACAGATTCAAAATTAACCTCATCTCCTTAAGAGACACACAGGCAAAATTATGAATGAAATCAGCCTTATCAAAGGCACAAATTGGTACCTAAGACAAATGACCATCTGTAAGACTCGGACAAAGATGGATAGATCGCGAAAGTTGGCATTTGAGCCAAATATCAACTTGATTTATCTTTTCTTCTCTCTTTTTTTTCCCTATCTCTCAGCAGTCCAGTTAGATTTCTGTAAGAATCCCCACCCCAGCTCCTTAAACGTATTCACTAAGATTGTGTGATTCCACCTCTGTCCGTAGGCAGATTCCGAGACGGAGTGGCATATCCTCCACCAATCTCCTACTTGACTTCCATGTTGGTAGAATCAAGAGTGGACTGTACCAAGAAATGTAAATGATAGAAAAAAAAATAAATCTTCCCTTTTTCAAATCCAGGAAACAACGGAAAAAGCTTCATGACCGTCTTCGGCAGAGTCTGCGGTCTGAACGCAACAACATGGTGAACATAGCCAACGGGCCTCACCACCCCAACCCGCCCCCCGAGAACGTCCAGCTGGTGAATGTATGTTGAGTCTGGCCAGTGGAAAAGCTCAGCATCTCTCCTCCGTTCAGGCACCTTGACGTTTATTTTCTAAAGCTCTTAGGCTCTTAGCTACTGTCATTAATCACTATGGCTTCCAGGAATCCAGGGTTTCACCAGGACAAAATAATGGGAACATTTTTTAAAGTGGATTTGGTTACTGTAAGACCAGTACATTTCCTCTCGTAAAGTATTCATTAAGGGGTTGGAATAATAATATTGGGTTTGTTCTACAGGGAGGGCCTAACTGGAAGAAAGAAAAGAAAAACACATAGAAAAGTAATGAAATTAATGATCCAAGAATCAGAAGGAATTTTTTTTTCATGATTTGAAAATGAAGGCTCCTCCAGTGTCTGACAACCAAGTACTGATAACCGAGCTAAGGGCTTCAGAGTGACTTTTATTAGAGGCATCTCCCAGGACCTGATGATTTACTGATTCTGATTTACAAAGGAAGAAGTTAGGGCATGCAAGGGCCAAATGACTTATCGAACTCCCTTCTCAGTAGCCAAAGTGGGAGAACATAATGCTTTCTTGTTCCCTGACTCTTTCTACCTGATGTCAAACTCTCCAGATTAAATATATCTTTGATGACTCAAATATTCTGTTTAAAATTTACCAAGCACTCGGCTTTTAAATACAACTAGGTCATAGAATATTACATTCTGGAGAGTCTTTGGATGTGATCTTTCAAACCTCCCCTTTTTACAGATGAGGGCCGGAGCTGGACTCCACTTCCCTGGCTTTTAAAGTATCATTCTCCCTATTCCACTGTAATTTTTCCTGTTCTCTGCATTTCCCTCAGGTGTTTGGCTTTTTATAGGCAAAGCTTGAAGGTTACATTGCATTACTATTTTTTGTATCCTATAGAAAAAATATATTTGTGGAGCAAATGTATCCTAGACCCAAGTTCAGAGTTGCTGGTTAGTCAGCTGGCAGCAAGTCTTGTAGCAAGGACCTTCCAGAGAGGAGTAACATGCTGATACATTAGTTCCTTTGGCTGCTTCCCTCCCCTTACCAGTGTTCATTAGAATGTTCTGCACAGTTGATAAATGCATTCAGTCCATGCAGACACACCTACAATCTGTCACTATGTCTGTTATAATATATAGGAAGCAGAATGGCTGTTCGCATTCCAATTATCTCGCAGGCTGTGTTACTTTGGGCTTTATTTAATCTGTCTAAACCCCATTTCTTCATTAGGACAGCAGGCCTAAAAATAACACCTACTCCAAAAAGTTCTTTGAGCATTAAACAAGGCAATCCATATAAAACACTTAGCCCAGTGACATGCAGTGTGTGGTCGATAATTGTTAAGTATTATTTTCATTAGACTCACCAAGGTTCCATTGTCTTTCAAGGACCAAGAGGGAGACGGTACACAGTCTAGAAAGAGCTCATGAATCATGACCTCCCCATCTTTTCCTTAAAGCAAGTGAACCGCACATCCCAGAAAGAGCTACATGGGCTAGCCTTTTCACTAAGAGAACCAACTAGAGAGTTTCAAGCATAACTCAAGTTCTATATTTTTGGGGTTTCCATAAATACATCAGGTTCTTTTACAGCCCACGGCCCCTTGCTTATAAAGTGCCCACTTCATCTGAGAGTGCTCCTTTCCATGCCTTTTTCCGTTTCTCAATTCAATTTGGTGTAAAACGAACAGCATTTAAACACAACTTCGAAATGTATCTCTTTCACTGATTGAAGGCAGGAATAGCTCGTGCGATTTGGTGATGAAAATAAGTAGAATCTACTTGCGCTATATATAGGCCTTCTGTATATTGTGTGCTCTGTCAAGATGTGTAACCTTGACAGCTTCTCTAAGTCCTTCAGATCTCTCAGTGGACTTGTTAGCCTTACCACGGACAACAATTTGAAAATTTCAGTGCTATTATCAGGGCAACATGGGCCCTTGGAAACTGAAAAAGTAAAGTAGATCTAAAATACAGAGATTGTAAAAAATTTTTTTAAATTTTTAAAAAATATCCTCTCCTGACTTGAAATTTGGGATAAGACAAACCATCTCTATGCTTTTGTTTCCTTCAGCCATCTGTTAATCTTCTTCACCCACAACAACTATGACAAAAACGAACATGGAGCAGAAATTTATCTTGAATTCCACCTGCGTTATTGGTTGGAAATAAGATGGAAGAACTAGTTCTGTTTCTGATAAGATGCAGTTAAGATCACAGAAGCCACACTACGTGCGCCTCCAAAGGATGCTTCATTAATTTCATTTACTGAATTGAAAGGCCATATAGCCAGGAGGGGATTTGCCATCTGACCGTTGGAGAAATAGAATGTATCATGAAGTATATGTAGGAGAGCAGGTTTTGTGTGTGATGATGATGATGTTCCTGTTTTGATTAATAGGAATCTTCAAGTTGTGTCTCTTTGTTTATCCAGCAATACGTATCTAAAAATGTCATCTCTAGTGAGCATATTGTTGAGAGAGAAGCGGAGACATCGTTTTCCACCAGTCACTACACCTCAACAGCTCACCACTCCACCACCGTTACCCAGACTCCCAGCCACAGGTATGAGAATGAAAACCATTGCATGGCACTACTCCACGAGAGAACTTCTAGACCTTGCGTTTTGCTCTCACTGCCTAAGAAAGGAGCAGGAGACACATAGGAGGCAAGGACGTATAGCAAAATGTATGATTCGGGACAAAAACAGATTTTGGACATCAAGTGACTCTGCCATTTAATTGCTGTTTAAATTGCAGCCTCCCATTTTTTCAGTACTGAAAGTAAAAATAATACGTACTCACAGGATTGTTGTTCCCCATTTTAGAGATTGTCTTTATTCATGCCTGACTACTCACTGAATTGCTACAATAGAAAATGCATGTCCTAGATGCTCTATAGTAATTAGAAGTTCACCCCTTCCAGTGACTGGGCTGCCCTTGGAAATGTCCAACAGCTGAACTTAACCTCGGGGATTCCCGTGTGAGAGCATGCTACCAAGGGCAACTCGGGGCTGCCCAGTGTAGCTTATGGGCCAAGTGTCTGCCTCTCGAGAACAGAGAGATTGTAAGAACACTTAGTACATACTGACATTTGGTAAATATGTGTTGAACGGATGAACAAGTAAATAAACTCTATCCTTACAAAGCCAAACAAAATCAAGATCCTCTCTAGAGCAAGTAATACTAATTCTATTCTGAGATGAGTAACGTCATCAAATGCTGATAGACCTAAGCGGAATAGTTACCAGATCGCTTCCTTTCATTTCCATTTTTGCAGATCCTTAAAAAATACATATGTATCTCTCTTTTCCTCTCCCATTTCCCCTCCAGCTGGAGCAATGGGCACACTGAAAGCATCCTTTCGGAAAGTCACTCTGTAATCATGATGTCATCAGTAGAAAACAGCAGACACACCAGCCCAACCGGGGGCCCACGAGGACGACTTAATGGCTTGGGAGGCCCTCGTGAATGTAACAGCTTCCTCAGGCATGCTAGAGAAACCCCTGACTCCTACCGAGACTCTCCTCATAGTGAAAGGTAAAACCGAAGGGCAAAACTACCCCAGAGGAGAAAGCACCCCAGTAGCAGAATCCCCATGAGCACCCGTGGTCTCACCTATGGAACTCTGCTCCAACGAGACTAAGGGGCGGCAGTTGCCCCTTCCAGTTCCCTAGTTGATGAAGTCATCTTTTTGTTTGACTGAACTCATTTCTTCTGAGCTGCTCCCATGGTCCCGGGGCCGACGGGCAACAGATTCTTAAGGAGCGGGACTGATTTGACGTGTCCGGGGCAGCTAACCCAGAGGTCGCAGCTCTGACCTTAGGCTCACACCCACTCTGAGCCTCTGTTTTCTCTGCTGTAACTTTAGAGAGATGGCACCAGTGATCGAGAAGGACCCTTCTATAATTCGAATTTGCCAAGTTATCCAAATTCCGGTCTAGCTGGTCTCGTGATCTCGGGTGCTAACTTTTTCTTACCTTCCAGTCTCTCTTAAATCAAATCAAGGGCTGTCATTGCTGACTCTCATGGGGAACTGCTTACGTTCCATCATATAGTATCCCGTTTACAAAATTCGAAAAGAAGGGACAAGTAAATCTTTTGTATGCTGCTGACGCAGTCTTCGCAGGGGGTTTTCAAAGCAGATATTGCTCTATTCCAGAATGTTCTGGCTTTCTTCTGGGGATATTGGATCGGGTTGGGGGGGGCGGGGGGCACAAGGGTTATAGACAAGGTAAAATCAAAAACAGAGGGAAGGAAAGTAAGAGATGCTTCATAGGAATACTGAATTCATAGATTCTCTTTATTCATTTTCACTTAAATTGGGAGAGAGTTAGAGCCAACCAGGATTTGTGGCAGTATCAGTAAGTTGTTACTTGTTTGTTTCCAAATCCAGAGGGATACTGCCTGTTTGTTTACTGTATGATGATCTCAGTGTAATCCTTGACCACTTGCTGAAAGGTTTACGTGATGTCCATTCCATACCTAGTTACATGGGTAGGGATAATGCTAACGGACCCTTTCCACTCATGGACTGGCTGGGAAGTCCTTGAAGTAATGAAGTAATGAAGTAATGAAGGATGACTGGTTCTGGGCCAGCAGGTCCTGGAGAGCTTGCTGATCTCTTCTTCAAGGGTCTTTACCCCAAAATGGTATTTCAGAGCTTTTTGGAATAAGAGGTTGCTCTGTCATTCATCTGTGAAAATGTAGGCATGGTCCCAAACTGGTTTAAAAACCTCAGTCTTAAATTCATATAATTGTATCTTTATGTATTAAGAAACTCTATCTTAATCCAGTCTTTTTTGGAACCGGAGAAAGAGGCAAGGGATCAATTCTGTCTTCATCACTCCGTGTGATATTTCTCTCTAAAGGCTGATGTTTTCCTGCCGTGGTAGGCTTCCGTGCACACCACAAATACTATCTAGGACCTCAGAATCCACCTGAACCTCGAGAGCTTGGAGAGAAAAGATGAATCACCTTTATGTGTTGGCTGAATCTGGATTAGCACTTCTCAGAGAGCTTAATTTAAGTATCCCCAGAACAGAAGTTGGAGCCTCGAGCCCCAAGTATTTCCATCTCTAAACACCTTCCTGTTTTAGACACAGCTAGACCTCACATCTGTATGACTCTGAATCATGGCAGAAGAGCAGGAAAGTTAATAGGTTTCCTGTTCCTGTTAGCTAGAGTTCGAATAATGGTGTCTTGTGTCATCACAGGTCTTGTCAAATTAGACTCTGTGAATGCCAGCGTGAACAAAAAAGTGTTTTGGTGCTATGCATTGGCAACATTTTTATCAAAGTTGAGAAATGTGACTCTGAATAAGCCACATCTTCTTCAGTGCTAACTCAGGCCTTTCTTGTTCTGGAGAAAGAAATCATGACATGGTTTTTAAAAAAAAAAAAAAAAATGCATTCAATGTCTTGACAATGAGATTTACAGAGCACTGCTGGATATAACATGACGTGAGGTAACATGGTATAGCCAGCCCTGAGCAGTCACAAAAGCTAAGCCAAAGACTGATGTAGCCATGGGTTTTTGACGAGAGGTAGACTGGAGCTTGGAAGTACCTAGAGCGCCAACATAAGGTTCTCTCCGGCTTGTTTCTAAATGTCTTGGTCACTGGGATGGAGAGTTGCAAATAGAATGTTAAAAGAAGTAGCATTTCATGGAAAAACTGAAAGCACACAAATGTGTTACACTGTTACCAGGAATAAATCTAAGTTACTATGCTCTTTTTTTTTCATAAGACATAACCTTATAGCTGAGCTAAGGAGAAACAAGGCACACAGATCCAAATGCATGCAGATCCAGCTCTCAGCAACTCATCTTAGATCTTCCTCCATTCCCCATTTGGGCTTCATTCTCTAAGACCCCTTGGCCTTTAGGAAGGTATAGTATTTAAGTAATACTTCTTTCCCTTCCAAATCCCTGCGCCTTGGTCCTTGTACACTGAAAGGTTTCCAGGACCCAGTGCCCTCTTGTCCTGACTCTGATGCTTTTATTTAAAATCACGATGAACTTGCAAATCCCCAAAGCTTGGATGAGTTAGGCAATCTAGCTGATCTTTGCATGTACTCCCGTGAGGAAACTCTTGGCTACATAATTCTAGATTCCAAGGGTGCCGAATGTCCTTAGTGTTAAAAATCCAGAAGTGTATAATGCATAGAAATTCTTTGTTTTCTGAATCTATGATATCATGCCTTCTGTCCCCTTACCCTCCCTACTCTCTGCCTTTTCTTATGTCACACTCATGCGGGGTATTCTGTGCTCACACAGGTATGTGTCAGCAATGACCACCCCGGCTCGTATGTCACCTGTAGATTTCCACACGCCAAGCTCCCCCAAATCGCCCCCTTCGGAAATGTCTCCACCTGCGTCCAGCACGACAGTATCCATGCCCGTCATGGCAGTCAGCCCCTTCGTGGAGGAAGAGAGACCTCTGCTTCTGGTGACACCACCAAGGCTGCGGGAGAAGTATGACCATCACCCTCAGCAGTTCAACTCCTTCCACCACAACCCCGCCCATGAGAGCAACAGCTTGCCCCCTAGCCCCTTGAGGATAGTGGAGGATGAGGAGTACGAAACCACCCAGGAGTACGAGCCAGCTCAAGAACCTGTTAAGAAACTCACCAGTAGCCGGCGGGCCAAAAGAACCAAGCCCAATGGCCACATCGCCAACAGGTTGGAAATGGACAGCAACGCAAGCGCTGAGGGCACTAACTCAGAGAGTGAAACAGAAGATGAGAGGGTAGGGGAGGATACACCCTTCCTGGGCATTCAGAACCCCCTGGCAGCCAGTCTTGAAGCACCTGCCTTCCGCCTGGCGGACAGCAGGACTAACCCAGCAGCCCGCTTCTCGACGCAGGAGGAATTGCAGGCCAGGCTGTCTAGTGTAATCGCTAACCAAGACCCTATCGCTGTATAAAACCGAAATAAACACATAGATTCACCTGTAAAACTTTATTTTATATAATAAAGTATTCCACCTTAAATTAAACAATTTATTTTATTTTAGCAGTTCTGCAAATAGAAAACAGGAAAAAAAACTTTTATAAATTAAATATATGTATGTAAAAATGTGTTATGTGCCATATGTAGCAATTTTTTACAGTATTTCAAAACGAGAAAGATATCAATGGTGCCTTTATGTTCTGTTATGTTGAGAGCAAGTTTTGTACAGTTACTGTGATTGCTTTTCCACAGTATTTCAGCAAAACCTCCCATATATTCAGTTTTTGCTGGCTTCTCGTGCATTGCATTCTGATGTTGACGGGATGTATGATTTGCAAGACTTGCAACTGTCCCTCCGTTTGCTTCTAGTAGCGCCCGATCAGTACGTCTTGTAATGGCACATCCATCGAAATACTCTTCTTTTTTGTACGAAGTTTTCTTTTGCTTTCAGTATATGAAATGAGTTGTGTCTCCTCTGCCAGCCAAAGGTTCGCTTCACTGGGCTCTGAGATAATAGTAGATCCAACAGCATGCTACTATTAATTACAGCAGGAAACTGCATTAAGTAATGTTAAATATTAGGAAGAAAGTAATATTGTGATTTAAAAAAAAACTATATTCTTAATCAGAAGACAGCTCGCTCTCGCGAAAATGAGCTACCATTTGCTTTATTTGGGTTTATTTTTCTTGACAAAGAGCAACAGTTTGGGGGACTAGCATAGAAAATGGATTCTGGCTTGCTTTTCGGGGTAAACCCATTACCTTAGCAGAGGACTCCACCTCAGTTTCGGGGGGAATGACACAGCAGGTCATCTAGTTGAAAATCAAACCGTGGCAAAGAAAGGTGCAATCGTTCCTGACTTGGGTTTCTCGTTGACTCGGGAGCTGGCCATTGGTTGTGTCGTATCAGCTCATGAACAGATGTGTTATGGCACAAAATGACCATGAAATGATGGCACACTCAGCATTTTGTGTGAAATACTTCTGCCGTGAAATACGCCTGCCATATGCGGTGATGACTAGCCATCCTAGGGAAATAGGTCTGTTGTAGAGTGTCTAGAAGGAGTGAGTGTGTCTAGAAGGCACAGGTGTGACTTGGGTGCGGTCTTAAATAGTTGTGTTGCCCTCGCCTTTCTCCTCATGATTTTCCTCTTGTTTTTTCAATGTTGCCTTGATCAGGTCATAACTATGCATGAACATTTTTGTCAGGAATGGCCAACGTGCATGTGATTTGTGATTGGCAAGAGCCTTCCATGAGTGATGATTCGTCAGGGAATGTGGACAGTGTTGGAAAATTGCACCTTTCCTTGCAGAAGTGACCCCCACCTGTGTCCTGGCCTCTCCATCTGCAGCCTGTATTATCCATTCCCCACCCCCTTTCTTTTGCTTTACTGTTACGGAACAGGATGAAGATGGGTCTGAGCTTCGCCTGTTCTCTCTGATTGTAAGTCCAAGGAAAGCCCATAGGCATTAACATTTGGAATAAATGCTAATTCAGGAAAATAAGGGGATTTTTTTAAAATGCAGCCCCCATTTTACACCCTGCCCGACATCTGTCAAATCAGGCTAGAGCTTTTACTTAGATTCCCAGTGGCCTTCTGGGATCCATGGGGTAAAATGGGAAAAAGGTCGGCAGGGGGTTGCAAATATGAGGCGTGAAGTCACCGAGAGCAACGTTTGCAGATGAACTGGATTTAGATGCTCATCGAATTAGATCTTCATCAAATGTCTGTGTTCAAATTCTCGGGAAGAAGGGACGTGCAAGGAGGTCTTGGGAAAATGTGGGTTGGACACGAGTCATGTCATTAAGCTCCTTTCATGTTTCTACAACCCACAAAGATGTCTGTCTGCAGGTCCTTGAAGTTTCTCTGAGTATCTGGTGTCCTGAACCGTACTTCATTACCCACATGCCACTTTCTCTGTGCTCTGTCAGGCTGCCCGAGTTGCTCCAATTTCCCTGTTCTGTAGAAATGAGTAAGCTCCTGGCAGGGGGAAGAGGACAGTCCACCCAAAGAGGTCCTTTAAATTATGCTAATATTGCCTTTGAAGGCCTTGGCTCATTCAGAGACTATGTCAATAAAGAAATTTCTACCATTAATGAAAAGTCTAAAATTTCTGTTGCAAAAATCTTAGGGCATTGGAGTAATCCAATGGCCCATTGTGGAGAATTTCTGGAATAAATGAAATCTTCTGCTGAGAGGAACCAACATTTCCCTCAGTATGAAAATTTCTATATACATTTTCAGGTCACAAATATATAGGGACATTTAGGACAAGAGGATGTTTTCTTTACAGCTTGATTCTGGTCACTCAGAGAGGTGGCATATTTGCTGGGATAGCCTTTCCTTCTGTAGAAGAAGAGTTTCTCCTGGTAAGAAAGGCCAGCTGTCTCCTCAGGGCTACCTGCTGCCACCACCAGCTTTGTGTTCCAAGGGACTGCTCTGTGATGTTTAGTCACCACATGGCTTTCAACCATCCCTGTCTAGAAACTCAGGTGGTGTGGTGGTAATCCCAAGAAGGGGTGTAGACCCATGCTCCCAGCCTGTGGCAAGCTTTCGGGGGTTTTCAGGGGTGGAAATCACCCAGAAGTTTGACAGCAGCTGTGTTTCCTGGGTCTGAAATCCTATCCCATCAAGGGGTAGTGCAGTACAGGTGAAACTTCTTTTCTCACTCAAGATTCATTTTCCATCCTATTCTCCCTTCTTGCCTGGTATGACTTGTTTTGTTTTTTTCGAGAGTGCCTAGACAGCCTCAGGCTTTCCACCAAATGGCACTCTGCCTGAGTATATGTGAATGTGTCCCAAACACCAACAGACCATATCTTCCTTGTTTAAGTGTGACTGTCTTGATAGAGATGGAGTTTATCCAGGGTAACTTGCTCATGACTATTCCTTTTTTTGGCCCGAGTTAAAAGGTGCATGGCTCATAGGGATGAAAATAAGGAAGGCCTGGTTTTATCTTTTAGTACTAGCTCCATTCCACCACCCACAAAGATTTCTATCTGCAAAGACCCGTGAAACACTGCAGAGAAATGCAGGCAAAAGGAAATGGCCACATTTCATGAGTTCTATTATATATTCTTTTGTAAATACACATCGTATGTTACTTGGATGTTTTCCTAAATCATTTACTGTCTTTATGAGTTAATGTCCGTTTCTTACTCTCTTGACTGACTATGTAACATTGTAAATAACATAATGTCCTTTATTATTTATATTTAAGCATCTAACATAGAGTTGTTTTCATATAAGTTTAAGATAAATGTCAAAAATATATGGTTTTTTTTTTTCATTTTTCTTTGCTTTAAAATTATGTATCTTTTCCTTTTCCTTTTTTTTTTAAGAATAATTTATTGTTCAGGAGAAAGAATGTATATGTAATTGAAACTATTTGAAGAATGCACATTTGAAGGCCCTGAGGTACTGATAAACTAAAGAATTTATTATCCAAAATACTAAGCAATAAGTAATTGTGATTTATTTAAAGTTTTGTTCATTTTCCATGAAAGACATACTGCAATAAAAATGCTACTCTGTGGAGGCGTGGGAGTGTTGCTCAGCAGACTAACGTTTCAGTCTGTTAGACCAGCACCTTGCCGCTGACTGTGATAGTTGTATTAATGTAGGAACATGTCTGATGGACCCCATGACCATCTCCTCTGTCTCTTGCTTTTGCCAAACTGCCTTTTCTTCCATCACCTTCTGCCTGTGGTTCTGCTCACCACCGTCTTCCATGTCCAAGGGGCCACAAGCAAGCAATACGATGTCTTCTTCCCCTTCTCCTCACCCCCCCAATAACGTATCAGAGAGGACATCTTAGGGCCTGATTGCCTGGATCCCAGTTGTTATTTTGTAGTGACTGCAAGAGAGTTCTTCAGACTAATGGAAATGTCAAAGTGACAATTCCTTGCAGTCGTGACAGGGAAACCTGTTACTGGGATTCAAGTAATCCGACGGCCAACAGGGTCCAAGAAACAGCCATCAGAACCTGGCCATGCTCAGCTTTCCTGTAGCTCCAGTAAATTTATTTTCCATCAGGCCTATGATTTATGGATTCAGGCCCACAATTTATTGATTCAGTTTTGAGAGAAGATAAGGCTAAGTTGGATTCTTCCCCCTCATGGTATCAATAAATCAAACAAAATGCCCATCTTACTGCTCAGGGCAGGGCCTATGCATGAGAAATTTCCCACATTCAAAGATTTAGTCATAGAAATGAGGAGATAACTTTTCTTGTTGAAATTAGCCGAAACAAAAGCCATATTTTAGCAAATAGGTATTTGCATGGGTAATACTTTTTATATATTTCAAGCAATTTACTCATTATTCTAGATAAGATTAGGGCTTCTAAAGTATGTGAAATAGAGCTCAGCAATCCTGTGGGGGTACACAGGGGCCTCCACTGGAGTTTGAGGGTCCCCGATGCGTGCCATCAAAGGCCACCTTCATATACATACATGATTCCTAGTACCTAGTAAGAGCTCCACTGGTGTCATTTCCCAAACAGTCTGGATGTCTAAGAGATTCCAATAGTGGCCTTTGACTGTACTAGTTCTTATTATTTACATTATGAACTTTTCAAAACAATCCAGAATCCTCATATCTGTGATTTGTGTCAACTTTGGCTTACATAGACGTACGCACACACACACAATTCCTCATACACACCATCCTGAAGCCGCCACATCCATCTCCCTTGTCCACTCCAGCCAACCAGCCATTTGGCAAATCAAGGAGTGCACGGAATATTGAAAAATTAAAGACTGAGATACTTCCTGTATCTTCAAGTTGAAGCTGAGGCTTTGCCCACCTTCTCAAACCAAAAACTACAAGCAGCTGTCTTAGTAACGTACGTTAAAATCGGATACCTAACATATATTGATATATGAGGCAGAAGCTTATGGAGTGGACCGTGGTACAGAGAGAATGAAGATTATCCGAATATCTAGATTATTACTGCAATTCTCCATTCATTTCAATGCTGTAGACTGGAATGTCAAACCCAGGCCAACAACACCTTGTAACCTAATGTCTGGGGAGGACATCATTAGATTTCCCTGCTCTCTCCCCTGATGATGAATGACAAAAGGGCCTGATGCCAGGGATTGGGGGTTCAGTGAGGCAATTCTGAAGTCTAGAGATTTAGGATGCTGGAGGGAGTGGAAAATTTTGATGACTTCATGTGAATCACTTTGTAGTCTATCTTGGGCTTGCCCTTTCTGAAGCAGAATAAAATAAATTTATGGAAACCATTACTCCAAAAGACCGATCTGGTAGGCAATAGAAATACTTTCAGTTTATGTAAGACAGGACCCTTCTGCTGCTACAGTAAGCCACCATATTCCTCTCTTTATAAGGCTGTGGTTGGACAGAGAAGCCAGACCCAATCCCACATGTCCCTGTGGGCTTCTGTGCACAAACTGCGGCTGTCATTGCTGGACCTCTCTGGTGAGCTGTTGTGTTCGAGCTCCCGTAAACTTCAGAACATTGCTTGGCATGGGGATTGCAAATGGATTTTGTTACTTGGAGGAAACCCATCATGATCTACCTGATGTTTTTAAAAACAAACCGGAAGAGACCAGTAATTCATAAAAGGAGACAGAGAATAGGGTAGGAGTTCTATCCTTTGCCCCATCAAATGTATTTACTGCACAGAATTTGATGGAGGAAGTGACTCTCTTCCCACCCCACAACATGCCAAAGAGGCTAGAGAATTACCTTCACAGATACAAAAATCATTCATTGCTTATGTACACGTTTGCGCATATGCAGAGAAATAATCTATTATGCATAAATAATATTTTATAATATTTTATGGCTTAAAACATCCTTTTCATTTATAATCCTCTTAAACCCATGGGATGTTGATATGATAAATAATGAGGAAATTTTAGGTGCAGGAAAGTTAAAAGTGTTTCCTGGAGCTACCCATCTAGTAAGTTACAGAGATAGCACTTGTACCCAGGTTTTCTGACTACAACTCCTATTTGTACCCATTGCACTCCTTCCTTCCCCACTCCAGATTCAACAAAGGCTGCCGTTTTCAGCCTTTCATGGCCTCAAGGCAAGTTACATCGAAAACCAAGTTTCTATTTCAAAGAATATGAGCTCCTTTGACTTTGGTTTAGGTTACCCCAGAACCCAATTTGCTTGACTTAGTGACTATGCACTTTTTTCCTA